ATAAAAAAATTAAATATAATTATTTTTAAAATTTTTTTATTATAATAAAGTTTAAATTTTAAACTCAAATAATAAAACAAATGGGACTTAAATATATAAAAAGAATCTAAACTAGGCTCACATTAAATATTCAACCAGTACATATGGATCAACTTGGGTGTATTATTTTGTAGCTCACTTGCCAAGTGGTATGTTTGTGGGTCCCAACAAAGGACTATCAAAAGCAGTGTTTGTCAGATGAGTCTCAATTTTCACTTAAAAAAGAAAAAGAGGGAGAGAGAGAGACGGCATTGAAAGCAATTATCATCTTTATTTGGAAATAGGGCATTGTGAGTGATTCATTGAACCATAAGTTTTGATTATACAAGTTATTAAGGTTTTATTTATTTCACGAATTTAAATTTTTAATTTAAATTAAAATGTAATATTTTTTAAGAATTTTTTACTGTAATAGAAAAAGTTATATGTGACATTTTTTAAAAATTTTTTTACTGTAAAAATCTAAAATTAAAAATTTAAATCGATAAAATGAACGAGACCTAAAGTGATCAGTATTTGGATGCGGCAGCCTCACAAGGTAGAGCCGCAGAGGTAACATGATTAAGGGGGGACCATTCTCTTCACCATTATTGTAAGTTTGTTGCCATAATTTGTTGGTAATATGTACAAATTCTAATTCTCTTTGGGATTCTAATTTAAGAAGAAAGATAAATTGGACACTAAGAGAAAAATTTTATCTCGTAAGAAGAATTTAAGAAGAAAGAAGAAAGATAATTTAAGAAGAATTTTATCTCGTAAAAAATCTTTTAATTTAATAAGAAAAAACCACGACACACTCAGAGAAAAACTTCCAATATAACAATAATGAGTACATAAAAAATTCTCAAGTATTAGCAATAATTTGCGGAATACTTTCAACAAAAACTTCTCTCACACTCGCAAGTATGATAATCTTACTATCTTTCCTTACACTCAAGTGTGGTAATAATCTACTCAAACTCTTTATAAAAAAACACTTTTATAGGCACACAAAAAACTCTCTTAGCAACTCTTAGGCCTCGTTCGTTTCGCTGATTCGAGTTTAAAATTTGAGTTGAGATGTGATTGTATGTGAGAACTTTTTACTGTAGTAAAAAAGTTAAATGTGATTATTTGTGAGAATTTTTTACTATAACAAAACTTAAATTCTAAATTCAAATTAGTGAAACGAATGAAGCCTTTGCAACTCTCTCTATTCCTTGCTACTTATTATGAACTGAGGAAAAGGAGGCTATTTATATTGAACCCCTCTTATCTTCTCCGTGTGAGCCAGCTGGCTTTTCTCATTTATCAACATCGAATTCCAATTCCGTGCTGACCTTTTTGTTTTGGATAATTAGGCGATTGGTGCTTTTTTTTTAATAAAAACAAACAAAAAAAAAAGTGTAGGCTCCGCCCAAAAACCATCAACCATTCGGTTCCCACAGTTTTTCTTCAAAAAGTGTGGGCTACTCGCACATAATTTGAGTATGTTCCGATCTTTATTCAGACAACATGATTTGAGTGTCTTATAATAAGTAGTCTCTGCCTTCAACTCTCCGCTCAACAAATCAGCTCCCTCTTTTAACTCATGGCCATCACCAAAATGAAACTTGGAAACCCCATCACTCCATTTGCTTTTTGGTCCATGTTTTTCCATGTCATATTTCTAACCTCTCCGAGCTTATTGCAACCTAAAACTACCATTGCAAGTGCATTAGGAAACGACACTGATAGATTTGCTCTCCTCAAATTCAAAGAATCCATTTCCAACGATCCGCATGGAATCCTGAGCGTGTGGAATGACTCCACTCCCTTCTGTAGCTGGCCTGGAATCGCTTGCAGCCGCAGCCATCCGAGGATAACAGCCCTCAACTTAAGCGGCTACGACTTGCGTGGAACCATATCACCTTACGTCGGGAACCTCTCCTTCATGAGGTCCTTTAACCTTAGAAATAACAGCTTCTTCGGCGATATTCCACAGCAAGTTGGTCGTTTGTTCCGCCTGCAATCTCTCAATCTTAATAGAAACCTGTTGGAAGGTAAAATCCCGGTCAATTTAAGCTATTGCTCGGAACTTAGGGTGTTAAGTATTGGAAGAAATAGGCTTACTGGGATGATCCCTCGAGAGCTTGGATCTTTGGTGAAGCTTACTACTCTCAATCTTGAGGGAAACAAGCTCACGGGGAGTATCCCACCTTCCTTGGGAAACATTTCATCACTGGAAGGATTTTCTGTGACAGAAAACAATCTCTTTGGAAGTGTTCCCGAAGAGTTAGGGAGATGGAAAAGCTTAACTTTTCTTTCATTAGGGCCGAATTCTTTGTCGGGCACAATCCCTCTCTCCATTTATAATATATCCTCCTTGATCTCCTTCTCAACTGTGGAAAACCAATTAAGTGGCACTCTTCCTCTCACAATTGGCCTCACACTCCCTAATCTCCAACTTTTTTTTATGGCTGATAACAATTTCTCTGGAATAATCCCTGAATCACTTTCCAATGCTTCCCAGCTTGAAGTGATTGATATCCAAGGAAATAATTTTGTTGGCCAAGTTCCGTCAAGTTTAGGGAGTCTCAGAAAATTTCGTTGGCTTAGTTTATATAATAATAGCCTGGGAGGTTATTTATCAAATAGCTTGGATTTTATTGCCCCTTTAACAAATTGCAGCCAGATGGTTACCTTGGATTTGTCTATGAACAAGTTTGGAGGTGTTTTACCAAAGTCTATAGCGAATTTCTCTACCAATCTCCATAAAATTTATCTTGGAGGCAATCGAATATCTGGCAGTATTCCTTCAACCTTAGAAAATTTGGTAAATGTATTCGTATTGGGCCTTGAAGGTAATCTTTTTACTGGTGTCATTCCAACTTCTTTAGGGAAGCTACAAAATTTGCAACTTTTGGCTTTGCATAAGAACAAACTATCCGGAAAAATCCCCTCATCAATAGGAAATCTTACTCAATTGTCTGTTCTTAATCTATCCTATAACAAGCTAGAAGGAAATATTCCAACCAAAATTGCAAACTGTCATAATCTGCAATCACTTGACATTTCAAACAATAGATTGATTGGAGAAATACCAAAAGAAATATTTCTTCTATCCTCCCTATCGACCTCGCTCACCTTATCACATAACTTGTTGACCGGTACCATACCGGTAGAAGTAGGCAAGCTAAGGAATATCCACTCCCTCGATCTTTCTGAAAACAATCTGACCGGAAAAATCCCAGAAACTATTGGTGATTGTCAGATTCTAGAGTATCTTTACCTACAAGGGAATTACTTTCAGGAATCCTTGCCGTCTACTTTGGTTTCTCTTAAAGGTGTCCGGTACATGGATTTTTCACGTAATAACTTGACGGGACAAATTCCAAAGAATTTAAACAAACTTCGGTACTTGTTGTACTTGAATCTTTCTTTTAATGATCTGGAGGGAGAAGTACCGCTTGAAGGCGTATTTCAGAACATAAGTGCAGTGTCTGTGGTTGGAAATACTATGCTTTGTGGTGGTGTGCCGAAGTTGCATCTTCAAACATGCCCTAGAAAGAAGTCCGGAAAGTGGAAGAGCAATGGCCCCAAACTCACCATTATTATAGTAGTTTTGGTGGTAGCAGTTTTCCTTCTATCCACATGTTTCACTATTTTTTATTGGAAGAGATCATCACAAAGGAAAACAAGTGTTTCGCTCCCAAAACTAAATGGTCTTTCAAAGATTTCATACAAGAGGCTTTTTCAAGCTACCAATGGGTTCTCTCCAAGCATGTTGATTGGAATTGGTAGTTTTGGCTCTGTGTATAAAGGCGTTCTTAACCAAGAAGGAAATCCAATCGCTGTGAAGGTTCTCAATCTCAAGCAAAAAGGAGCAGGGAAGAGTTTCATTGCTGAATGTAATGCATTGCGAAATGTTAGACATCGAAATCTTGTTAAGATCTTGACGTGTTGCGCAAGCATAGATTACAACGGCAATGAATTCAAGGCTCTAGTCTTCGAGTATATGTCCAACGGATGCCTAGAGAAGTGGCTGCATCTAGCGGCTGATGACGAAAACAACTCAAGGCATTTGAACCTGCTTCAAAGACTAAACATTGCAATCGATGTCGCTTCTGCAATACACTACCTTCATGATGATTGTGACCAATCCATCATTCACGGCGACTTGAAGCCTAGCAACGTTCTTCTTGACAATGAAATGGTTGCCCATGTAAGTGATTTTGGATTAGCAAGGTTTATCTCAAACACATCTAGCTTCTCAAATGGTGGTGATCAAACTAGCACAACAGGAATGAATGGGACAATTGGCTATGTTGCTCCAGGTAACATCAACTCCGTATAAGTACTCTACTTTTGCTAAGAATATATGTGAACTTGGAATTAATCTGCTATGAAAAAATGTTGTTCCCAAATGTGTAGAAAATGTTCTTTTCTCTCTCTGTTTTTTCTTTTTATTAAATGGAAAGAGAGAAACTGGTTATTAACTACTTGATTGATATACACAAACAGAACCATACATCCTTTTTTTGTTTTTTTTTGCTAGAACCATACATCCCTGTTAGATGCATTACATTTATTTATATTTCTGACATTTATTTTATGGGGATGACTATAGTACCACGTTTTGTTTTTTTTGGTTTTTTTTTTTTGTTTTCCATTTGGCCCCAAGTGACGTTTCTTCCTGAAATTTATTTAATTCTTCTTTTTGTTCTTTAACTTTTATGCCCTATTTTTTTTCCCTGAACGGGTTCTTCCCCATTTCTTCCACCATTTTTTTCTCTGAGCTATTCTTCTTTATTTTGAATTGAAGAAAGAAAATAATAAATGCGATGAGCTTTTTTTTTTCTTTTCTTTTCTTTTTTTTTTTTTTTTTTGGTTGAAACCCAAATTAGAGCTGATATAACGAGGGAAGCTTTCTCTAGTCCAAGCTTATCCTTACTAACAAGCAAAAAAATATTTAAGCAGTTATAAACGTACGTAGGGTAGACGTCAAGGAAAAGGAAGTTGTTTTATGATGGGTCCCACGAGTGTATGTAGATAGTTCTCGAATACAGATCTTTTGTCTAATTTTTAATATCCTAATTAGGGAAAAATTAATATAGCAAGATATTAAAAGTTATCCTAAAAGTGTTAGATTTTCAACTAGGATCCACCCATAACCGTTTTTTCACATATTATAACTGGAACCCACTAATGATCCATCCATTTTCAACCCTTAGATAATACACCATCGATTATGTAAAAGGAAGTTGTGGTATTGCAGAAATATCCTTATTTTGTTTAGGGAGAAAGTGCTAAACAATATTTTTCTGAAAATGTTGGCGGTGAATAAGATATTTTAGAATATTTATGGTAAATAACATATTTAATTTGCTTCATAAATGAATCCTTTACAGTAAATATGTTATATACCACAAATATTTTAAAATATTTATATACCTTTAATATTTAAAAAAAAAAAAAAAGACCCAAATGCTATAATCTCATTGTTGGATTTTTGAAAGAGCAAAGGTTGGAAGATGGAAATAGGCTAATAGATAGAGCAAACTTAAAGAACTAAGAGCAATGGAAGAGCAAAAAATAAACAGCAACATGTGTTTTCTGCTTACTACTGTAACTTCAATACATTATATATACATATATGGAGAGAGACAGAGAAAGCAAGCAAGAAGGCGTGGTCTTCAACAAAACAAAAACAAAAAAAATAGATTTTGTCCACAGAAGTAAGGCACTTTCCCATACCATACACCATACCCTCATTAATAACTTTGCTTCAAAACTACAAAAATAAAACAGAAGATGTGACAGCAAATGTGCCACAATCCACCTACTTCAACACTCCTCCTTGGCACTTTTGCTAGAAACTCCCAAACTCTTCCTTAGTTGTTCGAACTTTGCTTTGGGCAATGCTTTAGTCAAAACATCTGTAAACTGATTTTCAAAGTTGCAGTGAGTTAACTTGATTTCTTCTTTTTTCGCTTCTCTAATAAAACGATACTTGATCTTGATGTTCTTGGTTCTTCCATGAAACACAGGATTTTTTGTCTTAGCTATAGCAGATTGATTGTCACAAAAAATTACGGTAGCATTCTCTTGCATGTGATGCAAGTCTTCAAGAACTTTTCTTAGCCAAATGACTTGATTGGCAGCAGCAGTAGTAGCAATATACTCTGCTTCAGCTATTGACTGAGCCACCACATCCTGCTTTCTAGAATTCCAGCTGATCATGCCAGAACCAATGGTAAAAATATAGCCTGAGGTACTCTTCATATCATCAAGTGAGCCACCCCAATCACTATCCACATATCCAATCAGCTAAACCTCATCTCCTTTCTTGAACCAAACACCAAAATCTGTTCTTCCTTTCACATATCTTAATACTCTTTTTGCAGCCTTGAAGTATATTTCACTTGGAGCTTGCATAAATCTTGACAACAAACTTGTAGCAAACATAACATCAGGTCGTGTTGCTGTCAAGTGTAGCAAACAACCAATCAAACTTCTATAAATTCCAACATCAATTTTATCACTTCCATCTTCTTTTCTTAATTTCTCATTCAAAACCAGTGGAGTGCTAACATCTTTGCAATTCTCCGTGCCAAACTTTTTCAGCACATCTTTAGCATATTTTTCTTGGCTTATGAAAATTCCTTGCTCAGTTTGAAGAATTTTCATACCAAGAAAATATGACATTTCTCCCAAATCAGTCATCTCAAACACATTTTGCATTTCTTTTTTGAACTTTTGCACTAAAGCAATGTTATTGCCAGTAATGAGACGATCATCAACATACAAAGAAATGATTAAAAAATCATCACCTGCTTGTTGCACGTAGAGAGTGGCCTCACTAGGACTTCTTTTGAACCCCAATTGCAGCAAATGATCATCTATCCTGTTATACCAAACTCTCGGTGCTTGCTTTAGCCCATACAAGGCCTTCTTGAGCTGATACACTTTGTCTTCATTTCCTTTTTTAAGAAAATATGGGGGCTGCTCCACAAATATCTCCTCCAAGTAGCCATTCAGAAATGCATATTTCACATCAAGTTGGAAAATCTTCCTTGAAAGAGCAGAGGATGGAAGATGTAAATAGGCTAATAGATAGAGCAAACTTAAATAACTAAGAGCAATCGGAAGAACAAAAAATGAACAGCAACATGTGTTTTTTGCTTACTACTGTAACTTCAATACATTATACATACATATATGGAGAGAGACAGAGAGAGCAAGAAGACGTGATCTTCAACAAAACAAAAACAAAAAAAATAGATTTTGTCCACAAAAGTAAGGCACTCTCCCATACCATACACCATACCCTCATTAATAACTTTGCTTCACAAACTAAAAAAAAAAAAAAATAGAAGATGTGACAGCAAATGTGCCACAATCCACCTACTTCAACACTCAATCTGTTTTTTTTTTTTTTTTTTCTTTTTTTTAACAAATCTGAAAAGTTAAATCTCTAAACACTAACTTTTCTATATGCGTGTGTAACTTTAAGCGAAAATATTAGGAAGTATTATAGGAATCCAATTTTATTGATGAATAAATACATACATATGTATGTGTTGTATGCATTGTAGAGTATGCAATGGGTGGAGGGCCATCAAGAGAAGGTGATGTGTATAGCTATGGCATCCATGTATTGGAGATGTTCACCGGAAAGAGACCCACCAATGAGATTTTCAAAGACGATTTCAATCTTCATAACTTCGTTAAGACGGCCTTGCCTGAAAGACTTGTGGAAGTAGTTGACTCTACCCTTCTCCCTAGAGAAGCAGAAGAAAATGCACTGATGAGAAGAGAATCAGATGCAAGAAACTACAATAACAATATGGGAGGCATTGAGATTGAGCCAGAAGAGGGGTTAGGAAACCGGATCCTGACTGATCATCTACGGAAGTGCTTGCTTTCGGTGTTGGAGATTGGAATCGCATGTTCGAACGAATCACCAAACCAAAGAATGAACATGGGAGATGTCACCAGAGAGGTACAAAATATCAGGAATACTTACATAAGCTTTGAGATCAACGGACAAAGATGAAGAACCGGCTAAAATGAATAAGGTATTCTCCTTACATTTGGTTTTAATTTTCCTTCACCAAATAGGTAAAAGCACAGAAACTAACTTGTAATAATTGGACTACAGGTGTTGGACGATGCAGATTTTCTCATGTGCCCAACTTTTGACGATAAGTAGCCTTTGGCATATGTACGTACACTGTTTCCCCAAAATTTAAGTTTCACGTAATATTGAATAATCTAGAGGATGTTATTAGTCATTAAAGGACAAATGTTATCAATGTATCTACGTTACATAAGCACTACATGTACTTCAGATTTATGTTCTAGTATTGAATCCAAGTACTCTTGCTTATTTATGTGAGAATGCTCTATTGCAGAATATGCAATGGGTGGAGTGCCACAAGAGAGTGTGATGTGTATAGGTATGGCATCCTTGTATTGGAGATATTCATATAAGCGGAATAATCTAAGTACTGTAATGACCCTACTTACGTAACCGTTACTTAACTACATAATCTTAAACTTAGTTTAAGATATTCATATAAGCGGAATAATTTTTTTTTAAACGAAATAATATTTTCATAAAACATATTAATAACAAATTCATTAAAACATTTCGTAACTAAAAAAAATTCTTCTAAACGACTTTTAATAAGAAATCGTCACAAATTTGTATTTCAAATACTACTTAAAACCTTTTTAAATTAAGGTCTATAATTACAACATCGGTCTTCAATAACATGCATACATATATACTTGAATCTTGTGAACCGTAAATACATGTTTTTTTTTTTATTTTAATCTTACTGCGGAAGGTTTATTCGTGAGCGGTATCAATTCCTATCTACACCATTCGTCCGCTGCTCGCCACTGCACATCAATAATTGCTGATAGGTTTCGTACCTACAACACGAACATATTTGAATGAGCTTTCGCTCAGCAAGTAGGAACTATATCTCGCAAAACTATTGAAAATACATATAACAAAATATGCATGCTCCAGTTATGCTTAATTATGATCGTGTCGTATTAAACTCTTATTATCTTTCTAAACATGATGGGCCCGAGTGTTCATACTAATTGCGCGCGATCATCGAGAAGTTAGGGTTTGCAAGGTCCTAACAACACCGTGATCATAAACTAAACTGAATGCCTCCCTTACGGAGGACTTTGAATCTTTGAATTGAATATCTCCCTGATGGAGAACATGATTACCTCCCTTGCGGAGGCTGGTATTGTCATAACCGGAAAATTTATCGGAATTACTGTATGAGATCAAATTTCCTGAAATCCTTTGTATTATCAATATGAATATTTTTATGACAATTACTTGTTGATAATAGTACTAAATAGCAAGTTATAAGATAAAAATCAGAAATTTCTGAACTACAACGTAGTTACAGATTTTTGAACTATGTTCGAGAAAGAAGTATGGAACATTGTATTAAACCCACAAGTGGGTAAACACGTGAATATTAAGGTTAAGAAATGGAAATAGGACATCAATTTTAGGGTTATAGAAACAATCAGAACGAAAAATGGACGAAAAAACGGGTTCGGAAGGCCGAATCGCATAATTGTTGGTATCATAGCGAAGGTCCTGCCACCCACCAACATTCTGCTGAGCATCTGACTCTACAATGTCCAAATAAGTTATTATTTATGTTGAATTTAGATTTCAGTGTGTAAATTTTATCTTTATAGGATATACGGTATGGTTTGAACAAGACGAACTCGAGCGGTACCATGTGGGTTGCATAGAAGAAGTATTCGGGGTCCAGGAAGGGGAAGACGTCCGCATAGTCTACCCTCTACACCAGAAGCGGAACCTGTTCCTTTAGAGGTACTTCTGCAACCCCTACAACCAAATAGAGTAGCTTAGCCACCCCCGATTGATAGGGAAGTACAGGTAGCCATGATTAGGGACCCAATAGGATTTAGGGTTGCTACAAGAGCCGACTTAGCACTTTATCAGTGTAACCCACCTACATATGATGGATGGGCTCACCCAACTAAATTGTAAAACTGGCTACACCAAATTGAATATTTGATGGTAGCCTACAATATTGATGAAAGTGATTGGGTGATTCTAGCAGCTGGCCTATTAGAGTCTGACGCCAGACAATTTTGGAGGGGTGCGGTGGAAACAAGAAATGCACGTGAGGTGGCATGGGATAATATTTGCAGTTATTATTAGCTCAATTTCCACCAAGAAAGGCACCCACAGCGATAGCACCAGAGGTTGCCTCCACATCACAAGCTTAACCAAATACTGGGGAGATTGAATTTGTGCGAATGGAAAAGTATATACATAAGGTGGATAGATTTAAGATGCGAGTTTATGACACCGTGGCAATTTATGTTAAATGGTTCTTTAGTGAGATTATGACTGATCACACCATCAAGTTAAAAGAACATGATGGATGTTTTATATTTTGGAGGGGGTTAACAAAGGAGTTACGAACTATGATATTTTCACGATGAGAAGCTACATATACCCTCACCCAATTTGTAGAGGGAGTAACGCAATTAGAAGAAACATTGGCTATTGAACGAGAGGAACAAGAACGACGCACTAGTGAGCGTCGAATGGAGTTTGAATGTAGGCAGAGAAAATACCTATGCAGAAATAGATCAGTGGAGGTGTATTCTGGAATATAAGTTGGAATAACATCATCACCCCAACAACAGGGACAAGAAAACGTGAAACCCCAAAACACTGTAAATACAAGTGAGGGAGAAGATCCAGAGGAGGATTTTACGGAGGCTAATGGGAAGAAAATTAGAATTATGCAAATGTATAATATGATGTAATGTTTTGATTACGATGTTACATTGTAACAATGTAAAAATGTATTGAAGGCGTATATGTTAATCATACTTGTTTTACGTAAGTAATGAATGATGAATGTATTTGTATGTTTGAGCGGATATGTGTATGTATATGTATACAGGTATATAAATGAATCAAACACAGTAAAAAAATGCATTTCTTAGGTAATCACATTTTTTTTACTGTAATTGATTAATTTGAAGATTTGAGTATGCATGAACTGCATGCTTCCTTAGACAACGGTAGTTTTCGTCAGTTTTCGCTTAGAACTCGTTTTCTCTCACTTGGGTGAATTTGCTTCTTCTTCTCTCTTGGCTGAGTGTTCTCTGGTTTTTAGCATGCAAAAATGAGCATTTGGTTGTGTTTTTACCTTATAAAATCAGCCATAATAAATTAGGGGGGCCTAAGTATAAATTTTGACTTTTCTAGAGTCTTTTTTGCAAAGAAAAGTTAAAATTTCTTTTGCTTCCTCACTAAGCTTGGCTGGACATCATCATCCACTCCCACATGTCCTAATCTCAACCCTTCATTCATTTAATCACTTTAAATCTCAGCCATCCATATATATTAGTTATCTTTTTTCGGTTCAGTTTAATACTTATCTGGTGCGCGTTTTATCTATAGTTTTCAGACAATTGGTCAACTTGGTTTAACCTTGGCTAACTTTTCATGAGTGACCTATTGGTGGACCAAGAGTCGACCAATAGGTCACTCATGAAACGTTAGCTAAGGTTAAACAAAATTGACCAAGTTGACCAACTGTCCTAAAAATGCACATAAAACGCGCACCGGATAGGAATTAAACTGAACCGAAATAAGATAATCACTAAAACAATGAATGGTTGAGATTAAAAGTGATTAATGGAGGAAGAGCTGAGACTGAGACATGTGGAAAGGAGGAGAGTGGCTAGTCAACACTTAGAAGTGAAGCAAAAAGATATTTTGCTGAATTTCGTAAAAAAGGACCTTGAAAAATGTCAAAATTTCACCCAAGTCCTCCTACCTTTATATGGCCGGTTCTTTAAGGGATAAAAACACAACCAAATGCTCATTTTTACATGCCAAAAGTCAGAGAACATTTAGCCAAGAGAGAAGAAGAAACAAAATTCACCCAAAGTGAGAGAAAACGAGTTCAAAGTGAAAACTGACGAAAACTATCATTGATTAGCATCACCGGGGTTGTCTTCTCATCTTTCTAAGGAAAATTTTCAATTTTTCTTCTCATTCTCTACAGTGGATACACGTCCATGAACAGTGGAGGTTATGAAAAAAATTTTGCTAAGAATGATGATTTGTTTATGGAAATTAGAGATACCGAAAAACCTAATGTTTAAAGGTTAAATTTTCGTTTATTCGACTATATTTTTAGCATTTTGTTTATGGAGAATTCATGTGAGAAAAGAATGATAAAACCCTAGAGTTATGTTGTTTATGATGATAAAAAAAGATGAGAAAGATTGTGATTTGTGTTTGAAGGTTGAAACAACAAATAAAACGAGCTATGGTTAGCTCGTGAAACACGAAAAATTGGGTGGAACTCTGCTGAAATTTAGTTTGAGAATTTAAACCAAACCCGGTTGCAATGAAGAATATGATGATTAAGATGTGTAAAGTAAGTCTATTCGGTAATCGAAAATGCATAGAAACCTAAAACGATGAAAATTTATAGTTTTAGACCAAAACTGAAAATTAAGTTATTGACCTGAAAATTGGAATCCAGTGCTGTTTTGGGCTAGAAAACCAAGATTAAAATTTAGTTTCAAAAAGTGTACAATACCAAGTTGAAGAAAATTTCGTTTCGAACAACTTTTGTGAAATAGCGTATTTCTCAAAAACGACTTTAGATGCTAGTTTCGAGCTAATTTTCGAAACAGATCCAAGATTGTGATTATTGGTCAAATATGCACGAGTTTGGAGCATGATGTTGAGATAGGAGATATTTCGGTCCGGATACCGAACATAAGAATTGTATACCTTTTCGAGTTAAATTCTATTACAATTATTGATCTTAGGTTGTAAATCTAACGATCAGAAATTTATATAATAGGATCGGTAGACGATCTAAGTTAGAAAGTTTCAGGTGACTCGAAGGCCGCAACATTACCGGAACTTCTGTAAGTATCAGTAGTTTTTCTTGACTATGATACTAATGAACTTATTCCTCCATATTGTACAAAAATGTGCATATTGCGAGATCTGTGTATCTTAGAATGTGAATGATGCTTTTGAATATTTTGTGACGTGATAAATGATCGAATAGACTCAAGGTAGACATAGAATTTTGATTTGTGACAAAGTCCAAGTCTAGGTCAAAGTCAACGAAAAAGTTAAAACTTTTATGAAAAATCAATTTCATAAGAAATTGATAGAAATGCGTAAAAATGCAAAAAAAACTTAAAATTACCGTCATAATGAGAAAATATCATAGTAAGATGATGTACAAACAAGATAACAAAAGAAAAGAAGAAACTAAAACTGTTTGTACTGACCTCCGTAAGGGAGGTTATTATAAAACCATGAGTGAGTTGGTTATCTTGAGTAGCTCCCCCACTCCTTATTGGAAATGTGCGCAACGGTACAACGGGACGGGGCCCATATGAAGTAAAAGTGTGACGACCCTAACTTTTGGTCATTATCCTATGCTCA